ACAAAGCTTCTATTTTCAGCAGGCTGTCTTCACACCACCCTTCTGTGAAATGTACATGTGTGGGGCTGAGGGAAAATGACTTTAAAAATCTTTCTGCTGTGTAGTATGCTCTCACTGCAATGTCTTAAAAGAGTTTCCTTTGTTGTTTACAAGCATTTTATCCTTTAGCTGCCATTTAATTTTCTTTTTTTTTTCTTTCAGTGGACTTCAGTCCACTATTTTCAATCTCAGTGCTGTTAAACTGAAGGTGATTCTTTTTCCTTTTCTTTTTCACTCTTGCAAGGATGCTGAAGCTCACCCAGCTATTACAGAACAATTATTTGACAACAACTTCCTAAACTGAGTTGCATACCTTGTCCAGGACCACACCAAGGTTTGTGCCTTTTCTGTAGCAAGAAGTGGCCAGAACTTCTGTCAATATCAGTGTTTGATCAGGTATCTGTTGCAAACTCTGCTTCAGAGAGCAAGGAGAGCAAATGACCTCTGGGCTATTCATTGTCTGCTCAGTGGTTATACAAGGAATGACTGTTGTGGTGTGTGGTTGGTGTGTTCATGTGAAGACATTTTGAAGCCTGGTCCAGTGATGGTGTCTTAACTGCTGCAACTGACTTATTTCCTCTTGCAGCCGTGGACTAATATTCGTCAGCAGTCCCTGTGCCAGTCCTGCATGTGATGCAGCACATGAACATGGTGCACACGATGAGTACTGAAACCACAGTTTACAAACTGCATGTAGTCCAAGACCTGTAAACTATTCATCCTTGCTGTAGAGGTAAGCCTTTCTGTTTCTTGAGTCTGCTTTTTCTCCCTTGGTGCTTCTGTCTGTGGCCATTGATGAAATGCAGTATCTTACTCCTACAGAACAGGAATAGTTTTTAACCCTTTGAAATATAGAGGATATTATGGCTCCTTTACTCACAAATCTGTTCTTGGATTATCCCCTGTCTTGCATTATTCTCTGCTACACAAGAAGTAGGACTTTTTATGAGACTCTAAGTTTTCTGGATCAGGGAACATCTTTTATGAGTAATTGGACATCACTTAATAAGCATAATTTCAAATACATTAATATTGTAACACTTTCTACTCCATCCTTTTGACCTTACCTACATCGTGCATATTTATACTTTCCACTGATACAAACATTAAGCTCCTATCCTGTATTAGATTCATATATTCATTCACTACTTGAGAGAACAGAGAGGGAGGAAGGGAGGCATACAGGCAAAGAGGGAAGGAGGGAATGATAGGAGAGGGGCTTTTAGTATTCTGCAGCTGAGCTATCTGATGTAATATGTTAGAAGATATAGGTGCCAGTAATGTTCAAATAGCTTGAAAAATGACCAGACAGTGCCAAGCCCACAGTGCATGTTGTCAGGAGGGCTAACAGTATAATAAATCAACCTGTCTAGTGTCAGGGGTCAGGTAGTTTGATGTTCAAGGCTGTTGGGCCAGCCTGATCCAGTCAAGCATATGTTATTAATTTCTGAGCCATTAGCACTATTATGATACTAGAATCACCCTAAAGCAGTGCCTGTGCTGTGGTGCTTTGGGCTTTAAGTCAAGATCCCAAAGGGGAAAAATACCTGGGAGAAGGGAGTGAAGTGCTGATTAGTTTCAGGTCTTATGTTTCTCCTGTAACGATTTTTACTAAGCAGTACTGAGAAGAGTATGAAAAACTGCTTGTCAGATGAGATTTTTCCTATGGCTTTTGTGTAGGACAGTGATGTTTAACCTGTTCCAGCAAGATGAGCCGTACAAGCCCATAGCGGCAGGGGAGGGGACAACAGGATCTGCCTCTCTCTGTTCACATGACCGTATACATACATAGACAAAATATCTCCCATTTTGAGTAAGTGGAGGATATCAAGCAAAATGCAAATGATCCAATCCAGTCACAGCTACTGTGTGTTTTGGCAGCTGGGTCACTTCATTGTAGGTCTCATTCCTGCTGTGCTTTTTACCTCAATTCTGTGATACTTAGATGCGCTTGAGAGAGGACAAGCCACTGCTGTCCCTGCCAAGCTAGGAGGAGAATCTTCCCATATGTGTCTTTTCTTACCCCAGCGTTTGTAGGGCTGGATGTGTACAGGGAAGCCGCAGTAGGCAGTTGCAGGCCAGTCCCATGTTCAGGAGCTTTAATTAGCCTCAGTGGGTGGTAATATACAGGGAGAAAGGTTAAGGCAGCAAATCAGGCTAATTACAGGCTGGAGTTCCCAGGAGTTCAGATCAAGCAATCTTCTCCAGCCCCAATCTCTGAGAATGAGGCTGTCAATGACATGCTGTCTCTGCCAGTGCTGCAGGGCTCTTGGTTTTCAAGCTAGTCACGCAGTGACTTCCCAAAGGGCTGTTCTGCCTTGTGTACCTGTGAGACAGGTCAAGCTGCAAACCTGGGTGAGCCAGGTCACAGATTAGAATTTCCCCTCAGTGCTTTTGGGCAGTGATAGCAGTAGGTCCCATGTCTCTGCCAGAGCACTCACAGATCCACAATCTGTAAATCCATACAGATATGTCAGGGACTCATTCAGGCTCCTATACTGCAGCCCAGCAACTCTCTAAGCAACTTCATATGCAGCTGCCTCTTCACTGATGTTTCCCACCACTGTGAAAGCTTTCTCCTATCTTTTCCCACTCCCAGCTGCTGTTTGTTGTAGGCAATACTGTCAGCATATTGATATTTGTAGTGTTATATAAATTAGTGCCCAGAATATTAGAATTAAAATGTTACAGTTGAAGTTTTGCTGAAACAGGCAGCTGTGGTCCTGAAACATCCAACTGTCAGAAGAAACTTGATGCAAATACAAATGATGTGGAGCAAAAAGGCTAATACACATTTCACATAGCAAGTTATTCCACAGCCTGAAACAAAATTAGAAGAGCAGTTAGGTGAGGACCTCAAGGAACCTTGCCAGGTAAAGTGTGGAGGCATTATCAGTGAGAATCTGGCTTTGTCCAAATAGAAAAAAATCCCTACACAATTCCAAACAAAGCCCCCAAAGCAAAACAAAACTCCAGATCTAAATCCAAAGCCCACTTCCCAAAACCTATAAAAGAATTACGTTTAAACAGTGTGTAGAAGAAAGATTCAGAGGGAGAGGCTTGACTAGTAGCAGATTAGGAATTTGACTAGGTTACTTCCAGAATTTTTCCCAGAGATTTGTAAAGTCCCATGTTTGAGGGTTTATTTTGTTCAGAGGAGCAGGTATGGTTATAATGTAAGTCCTAATTGTATGTGGTTTTTAAATAATTTCATACATCCTGTGCAGACTTTATTTCCACTGGGCATTTCTTCCAGAAAATGACTCTGCTCACCTAGCCCTCACAAATGCACTGGTTATGTTCTTCTAAAACTGCAGAGAGTCTCATTGATTACTGTTTTTTCTTGACATATCCAAATCCTGGGAAGGACTTTTACAAATTAAGATCAAAAGTACTGGATTGGCAATAGCGATTGGGTCTCCTACTCAGGCACTGTGCAGTGAAGTCAGCTCTTACCAGCTTCTTTCTACATCTGCAGAGACTGTGATAATGCCTTTGTAAATGGCTTTGATAAATATATAAGAAGTCATTTGTATAAGTAGGCAAGTCAAGTCATTATCAGAACTGTGCCTAACTGGAATATCAAAATACGAGACAAAAGATGAAAACCAGGTTTGATCAATTCATGCCCTTAAGTACACAGCTAAGATTTAAAATATTCAAATTATTTTTTTTCAAATTATAATGCTAAAGATACTGTCAGTGTTAAATGCTTCTGAAAAATCCCACCTATGTATTCTAATAGGAAACTTCATAAAAATAGGGCATTAAAACAGAGAATATTGCTCGCTCTACAGTAGTTTTAGGCAATACAATAATAAAAATAAGACAATAGGGTGTAAAACAAGAGCAAGGAAACGCACAGTGAAGACAGAAGGCAGAAAGGACCACTTGATGTAAAAATAAAATATATTCTTTGTCTGTAGCACTTAAATCAGTACTCTTAATAACACTGTTGGACTATTGTGTTACCAAGCTAGACTTAGCCAGTGAGTATCATTTAAGAGACTGAAGGTGAAATTATGAATTAGAATGGGGGGAGAAAATATAAGAAAATATAATGTGCAAAAGATGACATACTGTTTCTGCCAGTGAGCTAACTGAGGAGATATTTTGCAAGGCTTTTACCCTTCCACTACTTATCCTAGAATCATAGAATTACAAATTTACAGAATGGTTTGGGTCGAAGTGGACCTTAAAGATCATCTAGTTCTACCCCACTCTGTCACGGGCAGGGACACCTTCTACTAGACCAGGTTGCTCAAAGCCCCATCAAGCCTGGCCTTGAATCCCCTGCCAGGGATGAGGCATCCACAACTTGTCTGGGCAATCTGTGCTAGTATCTCACATGGTTTGAAATGTGAGGGTGTGTCCTGGGTTCAGCAGTAGCAGTCATTTTTCTCCTTCTTGGTAGCTGGTGCAGTGCTGTGTTTTGACTTTCAGCTCCGGAACAGAGCTGATAGCAAGGATGTTTTGGTTTGGCCAAGGACTTCGTGAGCCTCATGCTCTGCCAGGGAGGAGTGGGAGCCAGAAGGAAGCAGAGACAGGACACCTGACCCAAACTGACCAAAGAGGTATTCCATACCACAGCACGTCATGCCCAGGAGGTAACTGGGAGTTAGCCGGAAGGGCTGGGAGACTGCAGGGTTGGAGGAGGTATCGGTCGGTGTTTGGTTGGGTTGGGGGTGGGGGCGAGTTATCAGTCGGCTGGTGGTGAGGTGTTGTATTCTCTTCCCTTGTTATTTCCTTTATCATTATTATTATTGGTGGTAGCAGTAGTGATTTGTGTTATACCTTAGTTACTAAACTGTTCTTATCTCAACCCGTGGGAGTTGCATTCTTTTTGATTCTCCTCTCTGTCCCTCTGGGAGCAGGGGGGGAAAGAAGCAAGGGGGGGGGGGGGTAGTGGGTGAATGAGTTGCCTGACTGGTTTCAAACCACAACAGGGTGTCACTATGTGATATGTTGTCTTTGGCAGCAAAGCTGGCTTGAAAGTTCCCAACACCTCTGACCAATTTACTGCCCCCTCAGATGTGTCAGTAAATGTCTATGGTTCTGTGCACCAAACTGGGTAACTCAGGTGATCTGGAGTCAAAATAAGCAAATATACCCAGTACTAAAAGTTTTGGAAAATGGGGTAATGTGGGTAATGTAGGGTACAAGGTATGAGCTTTGCTGCTGATAAACAATATAGTATCTAACAACAAGAAAGTTGTGAAATCTTGAATACTCAAACGATGATACTTGTGTAGCTGTGTCCCCAGTCTTTGGCAAGACTCACCCTGTGCATCCTGATATTAATTATTCTGATCACATAGAAAGACTAAGAGTAATGTTTGTATGTAGGGAAAATATATCTACTATAGCCAGTGCGTACTTGGTGGATTAGCAATCATCTCCAATAAAAGGTTTCTTACCATTGATTCATCTCATATCAGGTCGCTGTCAAGTTCACAGAAGCTGTTTCACTAATTTGGATTTTAACGCCTTTGTTTTTTTACAGATGAAAGTGCATGTTCAGCCTGCTGCAGAATGAGTTTTAAATGTGGTGTAAGAAGAGAGCTTTTAATTTCCCAAACATTGTGGGCTATTATTATAGCTATAGTATTTATCATAAACCTAACATGGCTGTTCCCCTAAACAGCTTGTGTTTAAGTTATGCTTACTTAAATTATTGTAAAGGAGAATACGAATACTTGTTAAGTTAGTGTAGCGCATTGCTGTTGGTACTTGTTATGTTTCATAGTGTAGTATGTGTGAGTGGTGTTTTCTGGATCTACAAGAAGGAAGTGACTGATATCAAGTAAGTAAGCTAAAACTAACCATGGTCTCTGCAGCACCTTGTATACAACCAAAAGAAAAACATGAGGATCTTCAGGACTGTGCAACAGTGAAGGGAAAATAAAGAATAAAGCCACTGTAATGCAAAAAGAAATGCATTAGAGGTATTTCCCCTGCAATATTTTAATGGATTTATGAATTTCTTGATCATTTTATTTAAACATTCTAGTGCAATTTCTTTTAGTTTGTTTTAATGTTCCTAATCCAGATCAGCTGCTGAGCAATGGGAATAAATGGTGATTATTGGCACACTGCTAGGGTGACTGCACAGAGCTATAATGAGGCATCTGCAATGTTTTTTTCAGTGTGTAGCAACCAGTTGACCCTGTAGACTGTGGCTAATGCAAAGCAGAACTGTGCATTTGGTGGCCGTCAGCAGCTGTGTGGGAGTGGTGTGTAGGTAAAGAAAAAAATATTTTTCCATTCTTCTACAATCCTTGTTTTACAAACTATTGAGAGCTGTTTGCCCAAGCAGCCTGTTGCTGTGTGTTGTGTGACACACTCCAAATGGCAATTATTGCATGTGATTTAATCCAGTATACAGATATATCTGTTTCCAAGAAGTTTACCACAAAGCAAGTCACCTACACACTTTATACTCATCCTGGGGAAGCAGCAGGATGGAGATCAAGGGAGTTTCCTGCCCTTCTCTCAACATGCCCTTGTGTCTTACAAGGGCAGCACCTCTGTTTCCCATAGTGAACTGACCCAGCGTGGGGGTGAAGGGACATCTGCCTGTATGCCCATGCCTCAAGAGTGTGCACTGGTCTGGGGAAGCAATCAGCTCTGCAGTTCAAACTGCGGTTGAGTTCACCCTTGTCTGCTGTGCAGGTCTCTTGTTTGCTGGCTGATCTTGAAGTGGCCTTGCTAAAAGCACTCCCTGCCATTTCTAAAGGAGATAAATCTACCTAAAACACTTTGAAGCAGACATGCTCCTCTGCTTGAAGGTGAGCATTTGACCTGAAGATCTCAGAGGTCTATTGAAACAGATGGTACTGGGTTTCCAGACACGGAGCTGCAGCTCCTGAAGCACTGCAGTGCTGCACAGTCCTGGCACCCTGTGGTGCTTGGCCCAGGCACATGGATTCATGAGGTCAATGCCCGGGGCTGAAGGACCTGGGGAGAATGGTGTGCTTCACGGGGTCACCAACAGGCCTCCATAAGGAGCAGCAGAAACAGAAGTGTGTCTGAAGAGTCTTGTTTGTCCAAAGCTTGGGAAAATGAGTCATGGCCAGATCACTCTCCTGGAGACAAGTGTTTGTTACTTCTCTTAGACACAGTTCAACTGGGCTTGCCCGTTAGATTAGGAAACAGGAAAACCTGTGAGAATAAATGCTAAAGGATAGGAATTTGTAAAGGTTGGTAGAGATTTTGAGAGATTAAGCAATTTTATATCCTGATTTCTCTCACTTAAAACTTTATAACAAGTTTTAAAACTATTAAGGAGTTAAAAATCTACAGAATATGAAAAACAAATTTAAAATTTGTAAGTACTTGTGTGTATTGATTGACCACATAATTTTATCCAAAATCCTAATTTTTGGAAAATACTGAATTTTGAATCTTTATTTTTCTCTGACTAGGATTATTCTTTTTCAGAAAAGAGAAAGAAAGTGATTTTCCCTGAACCTCTCATCATAAAGCACGTGTTCCTGTTAGTTACAATTTCCAAGGCAGTGAAAGACCAGCAACAAGCTGCCAGTTTATCACGTTAGAGCCCCATTCTGTTCCAGCCCTGCAGCTTCTCAACTCACTGTAACCTACACGTGGTGCTCTGTGGAGAAGAGCCGCACAGATGATGCAGGTACTGTTTTTCTGAGCATACCTTTCAGAGGATGGTAAATCTGTTTCATTGCAGCTTTTGTGGTTTCAACATTGTTTTCATTTTAATTTTCATGGGTACAAAACCAGAACTTCTTGTGTGGTTTTCTGAAATGATTAATTTGAGATGAAAATTCTTGGGTTTTCAAACTGGACTGCATGCATTCTCTGTCTCTGCTATCAGAAGTGACCACCAGCCTTGAATCTTGAATACCTCCCTGATTAAAATTTCACCTAAATAAATATGTTTTCTGCAAAATGTTTTGGGTCTGACAAAGCAGCATATTTTTATGAGATTACATTTAATGGGAATGTTCTGACTAGCTCCAGATGCATATTTTATATATGCATAGATAGTTTCTATTACCTAGGAAGAACCACATAGTAAACAGAGAGAATTTGCAATAATTTTTTTATCAAAGTTAGGTTTTAAACCATTTGTGACCACCCAAGATCATGCTTTGGTAAAACAAACAGATGTGGTCCAAACTGCAGCAAGAAGCTAAACTGTAAACCCCAAATACATCTATATGTTTTTTGTGTTGCAGTGAAAATTAGTATTATGCTGCTAGAGATTCCTGTCCATATCTGTTGCAAATAAAATAAGAGAAAATTATAGGATATTATATTTCAAGGAGCAATGTGACCAGTGAGGCAGAACTTGATCCACAATTGCCAAGTTATAACCCAGAATACACCATCAATTGCTTCACACGATTCAGCAAAATTCCAAGATCTACTGTATCGAAAGCAGCAGAAAGATCCATCAGCAGGAGTTTGTAATTTAACTTGAATCAGCAGCTGGTGATAAATCATTTGTGACCTTAAGTAAAGCAATCCCAGGACTATGGTACTCCCTGAAGCCAGATTGAAGCCTCTCATATAATCCATTCCCAGATAAATTTGCTGGTAGGAAAAGGGCAACCACTTGCTTCATCTTGCCCTTCCTCACATCCCAGAAAAGAGTGCTAGTCCAGTTATGACTAGGTAGAACAGAAATAGGAAGTCAAAGAGAGGGAAAGGCTTCGCTGCTAACAAAGAACAGCAGCAAATTTCAGCAGATTAGGAGACTTGCAGAAAGCAAAGAGTCATTAACCATGTTCGCTATAAATGAAGCAAAGCGTTGAAAGACTGTCCACAAGCAGCCATATGGGCGAAGAGTCAAAACCAGAAGTAATGGAGCATGATTGCTTTCCCAACTGTGTGATCTCAGCAAGAAGCAAATACAAATGTATAACACTCACAGATACAGGCACTGGTAGAATAATTACCAGCCGTAGTGCTGAACAGTCGCAGCTGATTAGAAATTCACTCTGTACTTGCTGAATTTCTCGCAGGAGGCAGCTGACGGATTGTGCATGAGGAGTGATTTGTGGTGCAAAATATGATCAATAGCACAAAATAAGGCTTCAGGTCTGGTTTTCCTCATTAATAATAGGACAAGAAAAAGTGGATCTGGCTGAATCAAAAGCAATGTGCAAAGACTCTGCAACAGCTTGGTGCTTCAGGAGACTAATTTCTGGACTAAACATCCTGAAATAATTCCACATCACGAGCTGTCATCTTCACCTCAGTCAAGTCCTGTGATGACCAAGGCAGATAAAGTAAAGCACAGAAAACTGAGGACAAATCAGGAGCTTCACAGACCAATTTGGTTTTTAAATGGAAGGAAAGAAGAGGAAAAAACCATGATTTGTACAAGAGGATGAGGTGAATAAATTTTATGCGATTAATAAAATCAAAGTTTATTCAGTCTGGTTGTCTTCGAAAACTTTAGTGGGTTGATCAGAATACTGCATAGCCCTAGTAGAGGTAAATATGAGAGATACAAGACAAATTGTAAATTTTAATCACTATCAAACAAGTACAGATATCAACACAGGACTAACTCGACAGGTCATCTTCTAGGGGGCTTATTATAATACACTTTTCTAGTTGGTTGCCCAAATAGTTTCAGTAGTTCACAGACACGCTTAGACTAGTGTTAAAGCAATAAACCACCTACTTCTCATGTTAAATATAGTTGAAACACAGGAAAGGGACAGGGAATAAAAGGAAGTACCACCACTCCTAAAGAATCACCAATTTTATACTGACTGCATCTTGACTGTAACTTTTAATGATCTGGGTCTGGGACTTCAATAGTGCTTAATAAATAATGATGATGGTACCATACCTGCACAATGCATGCAACGCTCCCATTGATGTCAATGTGAGATCTCGGCACAGACTGATGGCAGGATACTCCTGTGACAGAGATGAATTTTCCATTAGAACAAAATGAGTAAGACCTGTCTCAGTCAGCGGAATTCACAGCACAACAGACATTCCTCCAGGGCTCAGTGAAAGATGCTCATCCTGGGTGGCTGAAAGTAAATTGGGTGGGAAGTAGTGAGGCAGATTTGGATGGCCACAAAACCAATTTGGGTTTAGGTAAAAATTGACCCGATATGAAAAAAAACTCATGCAATTATATCCATATTTAATTTGTATCATCTGGAAATCCTTGCTTTCTTTCTCATCACACCGTAGGGGAAATTGCCTTTTTTTTTTTTTTTTTTCCATGAAGGCAAAGGATGAAATTAATATGGGGGGGGGGGGGGGGGGTGTCGAGAATGTGGATGCATGGAACTACCTTTGGAAAACCACCTTTTATTTAGAGTAGATAAAGGAAAAATGAAATGCCATTCTGGTAAACAACAGAAAACCATTACCCATACAGAAATCTGGACAATGAGCCAGATCATTCAGTTGGATGTTTTTCTTCAAGAATTTTGTGAAAAATATAGACATGAGGAACTGATGTGAAGCCAGCCTTTTGTGAAACAGAGAGGCAGCTAAGCACAACAGGGGTGCAGAGAGAAAGCTCTTACAATGTGATCTTGAGAAAAAATGAGAAAGTAAAGCTTTTGGCAAGGAGTTGGCTGAAAATACCTGAATCTGTAAGCCAAGAAAAAGTCTCTCTGCTCTTTTGACATTAATTTTGTTGTGCAAAAGCGATGTATTTTCTGTAAATAAAGAATAGTGACTGATTTTCTTATCAGCTGCTTCTCTTGGAAAAGTGCATATTTTGCTTGACCATTTGAATCAAAAGAAGTATCAATTTCTACTATTTTTTATAGTGATCAGTAAAGAAAATAGGAAAAGGGAAAAGATAAGAAAAAACAAGATCAATTTCCTTTTTGATAATAAGTATTATAATAACTGTTGCTAAGTGAACAAGTATATTTTCAGCAGCAAACCTATAATTATTAGAACACATGCGTTAGAAAAACAGGAGGACAGGATGAATTTGATAAGGGGAATACTTTTGCTCCAGGCTTCATATTATATTAATTAATAAAATATACCAATAAACATTTTGGTTTTGTTGTGTTGGTTGTTTTTTTTTTTCACATTAGAATATTATGTAGAGGTAATGTACAGTATAGTCTCAGGATTATTGGTAGTTCCCATTGTTTTATAATACCAGTTTTGGATATGCATAGATGAGATATCTATTTAGTTAGTGTGCATTTTCAAGATGCAAGACTGATAGTTCAAGTCTCTTTACAAATGTGCAAATTAGGCAACAAACGCTGAGTAGCCTTTCAAAATTTTCATCTGTATTTCTGTAAGTGCTAATAGAAAATTGTACTTTTTATTTAATAATATTGTCACTTTTATTGCTCTAAAAACTGATCCCACCAATTTGTTTTACTCTCATTGCAGCTTTTACATGTCACAGTGTGAAGAATATAAGTATTTCTTGAGCTACTTATTGGTGCAAATGGAAATGTGAAAATATTTATTGCTAAAGCAAAAGTACAATCTGTACTGCTTAATTATGATAATCTATGAGAATTATTCTTGCATAATGCCCAATAAAGTAGTAACAGAAAAAAATAGCTAGCTGTTCTTTCCTATTACTTGCTTCAAATGATCCAGGCAAGATGTTTGTAAACTTGTAATTTCATGTTGAATTTCTCATTTAAGCTATATTTTGGAAAAAGCAGAGTGCTTTAAAATACAGTCATTAATGTTTGTACAAGGAGAAGCACTCCGAAGTGCTGGGTGAAGTTACAGATTTCAGTATAATATCGTCTAAAATAGTCTCTGAAAACTGTACTGATATTTATTGATAGAATCATAGAATCATAGAATAGTTAAGGTTGGAAAGGACCTTAAGATCATCTAGTTCCACCCCCCCAGCAATGGGCAGAGATACCTCACACTAAACCATGTCACCCAAGGCTTCATCCAACATGTCCTTGAACACTGCTGGGGATGGAGCATTCACAGCTTCCGTGGGCAACCTCACCACCCTTACAGAAAAGAACTTCTTCCTTATATCCAATCTAAACTTCCCCTGTTTAAGTTTTAACCCGTTACCCCTTGTCCTATCACTACAGTCCCTAATGAAGAGTCCCTCCCCACCATCCCTATAGGCCCCTTCAGATACTGGAAGGCTGCTATGAGGTCTCCATGCAGCCTCCTCTTCTCCAGGCTGAACAGCCCCAACTTCCTCAGCCTCTCTTCATACGGAAGGTGCTTCAGTTCCTCGTGGCCCTCCTCTGGACTTGTTCCACCAGTTCCATGTCCAACACCCCCAAGTCCTTCTCCTCAGGGCTGCTCTGAATCTCTTCTCTGCCCAACCTGTAGCTGTGCCTGGGATTGCTCCGACCCAGGTGTAGGACCTTGCACTTGACATGGTTAAACTTCATGAGGCTGGCATCAGCCCGCTTCACAAGCGTGTAGAGGTCCCTCTGGATGGCATTCCTTCCCTCCAGGATATCAACTGAACCACACAGCTTGGTGTCATCGGCAAACTTGCTGAGGATGCACTCAATCCCACTGTCCGTGTCACCAACAAAGACGTTAAACAAGACCGGTCCCAGCACCGATCCCTGAGGGACACCACTCGTTACTGGTCTCCAGCCAGACATTGAGCCATTGACCGCAACTCTTTGTGTGTGGCTATACAGCCAGTTCTTT